TGTGTCGATGGGACTTCAGGTCGACAGCATACTTGGACTTCCAGACAGTGGCGGACTTACCATAAGGCACACTAGCAGTGTTTCCATTTGCGAGATCATTATCCCGAAAACAGGACTTTTAGACCTAGAGCGGGATTAAAACGAGATGTAAGATAAAACGGGATTTTCGGCTGTGACGACTATTTTAATTTTTTTCTACTTAATTTTAGAGTTAAATTAGCCCAACTTCAATTGATTAAAATAAGTACTTACCGTAAGCAAAAAAATAATAATTATTGTTTAAACTACTTTTTTAACATTAGGCTAGGCCTATACGTCAAATATAATACTTGGGATTGTAAAAAAAAATAAATAAATTAAATTAAATTAACATCAAAACAAGCTTTAGATTGTGCAATGAAACAGTGTAGTTTTACACTATCCAAAGACAATAATTATAAATTAGACTAATAACTGTGATATAGGTACATAGGTCTCAAAAATTTGAATTTGATCACAGCATGGGTGGAGATCATCACGGAGAACACCACCACAAGACAGTGATTCCTGACTACCGAATCTACAAGGTGGAGGACGCACCAGAGTTGGTCAGAGTCCAGAAGGAGTTGGCCAAACTGGGCCTCAAGGACCCATGGCTCAGGTGAAAACTCATTAAACTCAATGTTGAAAATTTAAAGTGAATACCCTGTTGTATCTAGGGTTTCATGTTGATAAATACTTAATGATTAATGAATAGGCCCTAATTATCCTATTAGGCTAATTGGTGACTAATTCGTATTATATTATAACTTATAACTTAGTAGGCCTATTGAAAATGTAGGTTACCTTTCAGACATATGACCAATCTTTGGCTAAAATCAATGAAATTTGGGGGTTTTGGGTGTGTTGCTAGCCTAGTGTTTAGCGTCTCAGACTTCGGGGGGGGGGGGGGGGAGGGGGGGGGGGTGGTGGTGAAGAGTTATTTAAACACCAAAGTGACTATCATTTAAATATCTAGTATACTGTGAGATTAGAAAATGTTCTTTGTAGTTTTGATTTGTTCTCCAAGGGAGTCCATGGAAGCTAACGGCCATCTTGGATTTGCCAGCCATAAGAGCAATTTTAATTTCGTTGATTTCAAACAGCTACTGAAGACTTTTTTTCTGTCCAAAAATATTTTCCAAACACCTTAGTGATTGGAATTTAAATATAGTATAATGTGAGATAAAAAGTTGTCTTTGTAGTTCTTTAATTGTTTTATGAGTTAGAACGTAGGCTCCAAGGACTCTTAATGGTTAATTGGCTTCATTGACCTAATCCTCACGCCTGGCTCAAACTAGCTAATAGAGCGATATATATTCTACTGACACTCCTCAGTTCTGCACTAAAGAGCAAATGCAACTCCTGGTAATTCAAGAAATTAAAGATCCTAAAAGTCAATGCCCCCGCCACCGCAAACCTGCAGATTTAGCAAATTCCAACTTGTCTGATTAAATTTTACAAAAATATTTCCATAAATAAGGCATACTTATTCCCCATTTAAATAACATTAGATTTAACGAGTGATTAGGTTTGCTGTTACGGGGAAGGTAAAAAGTGTTTTTGATGAAATAAATAAATTTGCCAAATTTGATTAACATATCTATAGTCAAGTAAAGTGCAACAGTTTTCATTTTCTCCATAAGAATGACATAAAAATTTCAAAAATACATGTTTTAAGAATTTTCTCTGTAACTGTTAGGCTTACCACAACACTTTCAATATACTAAATTATTTCTTTTTTAAGCTCTACAAGATGGGTCAGAAAGAAATTGCAAAATTTTATGTTTTAGGGTCAAAAGTGGGAAAACCAATTTTTACCCCATGAAACCCCCCGTAAATCCCCGTTTCCAAAGTCCAATCATGCTGGTTCGCGAACTCATTCAAGTTTATCCTCCAAGGTTTGGTCAAATTTCATCAAAATAAGACCAAAATTACTCAATTTTACGGAGACATATCTGTATATTTAATACCCTAAATGATTTTTCTCGTGGCATTTAATTTGAGAATACGGCTGGGCGTAGAAACTTGAGTGAGGTGTCTAAGGAAATAGAGATGGGAATTACCGTTACTTTTGAGAAACGCGTTTTACACCGTTCCATTACAACTTGGTACTGTAACAGGTTACAGTAACCTGTTAATTTTGTAACCTGTTATCGGTCCGTTCCTCCCCCACCACACCGTGACATCCAGGTGACATCCCAGCCCCAGCTCGGCGGGCATGTAACGAAATTCTCGCTGGGTGTTATTGCTCTACCCTGTTACTGGCCGTATGTTCGTTCTGGCTCGGCTGGGCTGTAACGTTATTATTCCAGCTTGGCGTTACTCTCTGCGGGTGGTTTATTCGTTCCAGTTTGGCCGTAATGTAACGAAATTCTCGCTGGGTGTTATTGCTCTACCATGTTACTGGCCGTGTTCGTTCATTTTGGCCAGGATATACTGTAACTTAATTCTAGCATGGGTGTTACCTAGCTGGACGTTTCGTTCCAGTTTTTCCATAATTATTGTTGGTGTTAATGTTGCCACATTATGTACAGTTCTCGTGTACGTTAAATTCCGGCTGGAATGGAACGTTTTCTCACATTTTATTATTTTAAAGACTTTTTGTTGCTTTCAGGACTTTGATCCTGACGGAACCGGTACAGGAGATCAATTCATAAGCCAATGAGCGCAGCGTTACAAAAATAACAGGGTATTCTGAGTAACGTGTTATCTTGATAACAGGTTACAATTTATTAACAGTGTTATTTACCCTGTTACGTTAAATAACGCTCATCTCTATAAGGAAAGGTCTTGGTCTGTAGATGAGCCATCAACAGAGAAACAAGGTCAATTCCAATGGGGCTCTGTCCCAGTGGCTTTTAAAATCCCATTCCCATGTTATTCTTATGGAGAGAAAAACGGGGTTTTTGTCATAGCTAATTTGAGAGAACGGCTGGGCGTAGAAACTTGCCAGGGGTGTCTAAAGAAAGGTCTTGGTCTGTAGATGAGCCATCAAAAGAGCAATTAGCTTAATCCCCTTGGGGCTCTGCCCCAGTGGCCTTTAAAATTCCCTTCTCATGTTATTCTTTTGGAGGGGGAAAACAAGTTGTTGTGGCAACTAATTTAAGAGAACGGCTGGGCTTAGAAGCTTGGAAGAGGTGTCTAAATTTTCTTTTTCTACAGGTCTTAGCTATTAACATCACAATTAAAACCCCCACTTTATTGCCTTCTTTTTAGCAGCAAACATAAGTATTGTACCCATTAAAATCAATGATATTTAAATTTTTAAAAATCTGACAGTTTTAAAGGAATATTTTAGTGAAAATCCAGCTAGGTGAATAGAAATTGCTTAGTCAGCAGGTTTGCTGTAGTAGAGGTATTAAAATAGTAATATAGTAATAGTAATAGTGGTTTGGTTGGTTGGTACCTTGCCTTAAAAAAAACATAAAAGCAGTGGTCTAAACTTTGATACTAGTGACCCATTTTGTTGGTACCTCTCATTTACCGGTCAGTCAACCTCTGAAAACTTGTAGTTGAAACCGATAAGTATAGTTAACTCTTTGAGATTCTTGTTTTCAATCTAATGTACTTTTTCAGGAATGAAGTTTGGAGATACAATCGTAAGGAGTTTGGCACCCCGAGCTCAAAGATGTCAGCTATGTTTTCCAAAGGTTTCAAGTACGGGTTGATCCTATTTGGTATCACAACTGCTATTGAGACAGCTGCTGACTTTTTGAACCCGAAAATGCCTCATCATGGTCACCATTAATCTGTGTAATGTTAGTATAGTTGAATAAATCTTGTATAGTTGCTGTTGTAAAATGGCTTTAAATACCATAAAACCTCCACTCTATTTTTCTGTCAAAAGCCTCTTCAAAGCCCTCCCAAAAAGGGATCATTTTAGCAATGCATAGCTGGGAATATGTTAATTGACATAATCATATCTTTTTTACCATTTTAACCACATTATTTTTATTTATATAGTTCTACGTATTGACGGTATAACGTATATTAACACAATCTTAATAGACTAAATGATTGAATCCCTTATGAAACAGCTGCTTATTTGCATTAGTAGGATTGGAAACAAGCTGGAAGTTGTTTTGAGTGGCTATCTTCTTTAAATGAAAAGTTTTTTTTGTTTTCTAGCTTAGTTAGTTAATTATTGAAGCAATATGACGGAAATATAGTTCACCACACAGGCAAAAAGTGTCTTTTCAACCTTAGTTCATTTTCTGGCCTCGGCTTCGCCTCGATTGTAAAACTTGAGTTCAGATCATAAAGAGTTGCACTTTACGCCCTAGTGATGAAATCTACTATTCTTACTACAAATATTTTACTTACTAACTCCACTTTTATTTTTCTGTGAGTCATTTATTGTAATGAGTGTTTTCAATTGTTGACTACTATAAACAGTACTATAAGCCAGGTTGGTCGAGTTGTAACCCATTGACTGCCACCTCTGCATTTCTCATTTAGAGCAATCACACTCAACCCATACCCTCTCCTTTGCAACATTCCCCCTCGTTATCTTCAAAAGTCACCACCCATGCCAACTTATCGTTAGTGGTCCTTTGACTATAGTTTCACTGCAGTTTTAAGTAGGCAACCCTACCCCATGTCAAGGTTGGCCTATTGACAGTTTTAGGGTAAAAAATAACTGAGTTTCAATTGGACCCGTGACAGAGTGCACTGCTGTCTTCTGTCTTATCCACCAACTATAAATGATGTCAAACTGATAGGCTTAATCTCCATCCACTAAAGTAACTTATATTTGATTTCCCCATTTTAACTATTGTAGTATAGAAATTAAAAGAAAAATAAAACTAAAAAACCAATTATAATGAAAACACTTATCAAGCACAACCCTAATGAAAAGTATGTGGTACCTAACTTAAAAAATGTGTCAACTAAAGGTACCACTATATTGTTATTTTAGCTTTGACAATTAAAATTATGTGGAATGAAATGAAGACATAATTAGAACGCACAACAACAGAAAATATTAACAATACTCTAGATTTTATTTGTTGGCAAAAAATATATATAACATTGATACAAATTTAAGCAACAAAAACTATACTACTTATTATTAAAATCACTACGGTATTAAGATAAGCTGTTTTCAATCACATTTTTTATTAGTTTCATAATTTTTTCCTAGGATGTTAGGCACAAGCCCAGGATTGATTTTCACATTACAGTACTTCAGGCTAGACCTATGGGTTGCAGCACTATCACTTAGATAAAATCCATTGGTGATTTGGCGGGATTTGAACCCGGGACTGAAGTACGACACTCTAATCACTAGACCAGCTCGCTCCCCCGCTGGTGGTATTAGTTTCATACTAAATACTATGGTATACACTGGGTGATACATACTTTGAGTAGTGTAGGTAGTGCACTTGAACCCTGCTAAATTATTTACTCATCTTTAGTTACATTCATTCTCAAAAATCAATATAAGTTAACGATGATGGTCTATTGTACTAGGAGATTTTTTTAACCTGTTGGGGATCTGCAGTCTTAATTTATAGAAAGTCATTTTTAAAAATAAATTATTATATTTTAACATTACCATCATAATGAACATTGACTAATCAAAATATAATTCAGAGAATGTATTCTCGTATATTTAGGAATTATTTTTGAAGAGGCGATAGTATAATTTTTTAACCCCTCTATGAGATGAATCTGAGTACTCCTGTTTCAAACTAAAATCATAGTAGAATTTAAAGAGTAAATTTTTGGGAATAGCATACAAACTACATTTAACCTACCATGTTTGTATTTTTTTATGAAAACACATCATAAAATTCATAAAGAGGTTACTTTGAGTGTCAAGCCGTCAAATGTTCTAATACGATTTCATATGTGGTCAAATACATTTCTAAGTTTTAGCATTATCCATCCCATTCATATTCATTTATATTAAACACCAAATACGTCTAAACTTTGTGGATTATGTTATATATGTATTAAGCCTTTGTCCTTTTGTCACTTTCCTAATTACTATTTTAAACTTGCACATATATTAAAGCTATTATTGGGTTTTGACAACTAATAGAACATTAAGCTTTTTGCCTCTTTTCGAACTTGAGCCACATTCCTCCCTTGGGTAAGGGAACAAAGGATCGTGGATCCAGCTTGAGTGGAACATGTGTCTTGGGACTCATCGTGACTATGAAGTTAGCCATGATCCTTGCCACCGAGACCTTTACCTCCATAACTGCGAACCTCATGGCTGAAACATCGTAAATTTCTTAAATACCACGTTTTTGAATGATAAGATAATACGAGTTGTAAATCAAGAATGAAGATAGCCTTGAACAAGTCTGCTTTTCCGCAGTGAGTTAAAATGGTGATTGTGTTTTATAGGTGCATTAACTAGTTGTTTGGTAATTTTCGCTATACAGTAAAATTGGAGACAACTATGCAATGGCTATACTTGGATTTCTAAGAAAACAAACTACTATTAAGTGCTGCACACTTTTCACAAAACAATTTGAAACTGAGACTAAGGCTGGATAACTATTTGGCTGATTATAACTGAGCATATTAAATATTTATTAATTGCAGTTAACTATAAAATAAATGCATTTTTCAGATGTGATTCAACGGTGGTTGTTACTATAAATTTAGAGTAAACAGTGATTGCTTTTATGTGTTTCAAAACGTTACTGAGAGTATAAGCTGAATAAATTAGCAGCTAGTTAAAAGGTGGATGGATGTTAAGAGTATTATTGCTGTATTCAATTTTGAGGATCGTACACATATTGAAAGTAAAATAACTCTAAAATTCAAGTTAAATTACCTTTCTGAAATGTTGGCAGAAACAGCTTTATATTTGTTTAACTTCCCCAGCAAAACCATAAAATTTGGACAAATACTTTGGGAGGAGTTTAAGTTGCCAAATTTCCTAACCTTACACACTGTTGGATTATTGAGTGTCAACTGTACTTTGTATATTGTGTTTGTAAAATAAGTACTCTGTTGTCCCAGCTCACTTGTGGTGTCAACTTACCAATACATATCCTAGGGCCATCGCCGAATGGCAAGAAAGCTGGGTTGGGTTTGAAGTTGTTGCCTTCGAAGCGATCTGGGTTGAATGTTTCCGGGTCTGGGTAGTGCTGAGGGTCAAGGTGCAGACCTGCTACAGGGATGGTGACGATGACTCCCTTCTCTATGACCAGGTCACTGTCAGGTACCTTGTAGGTCTTGGTACACTCTCGCTGCAGCAAGGGTATGATGGGATACATCCTCTGTGACTCTACAAGTCAAAAGTATAAGTTGTAGGTAAAAAATTTGTTAATAGTCAAAAAAATAAAAAATATAGATTAATCTAGTAAAAACATTATTACAGGAAAATCCCGACTAACCGAAAAAGGAGGGATACCGTTTTGGATAACCTAGTTTTCAGTTATTCATTTATTTGTAAACGGATCCACAACTTTTTGTTCAGTACAGTAAATACAAGATTTCTGTGTGACAAGTGACAACTTAGTTAAGTACAAGCAGTTAAAAACGGGAGACAACAAGAACAAGAATTATTCAACTCTAAAGGCTATTTTAGTTCAAGAGATCTACAACAGCTTTTTACCTAATTAATTTCATCCTAAAAATCTACTGTATACACAAAATATATTTTAAAATTAATCTACATACAGTAGTTTTTAGCACTTATTCTTTGTCACAGTAAGTGTAAAACATTAGTGTCGTCTGCTCCATTACATTCTGTTGGGCAAGCTGGGCTAACTACCCACACATTGGTGATCAATTGCAATTGCCTCATTTTCCAATTGATTCGATCTTTTACTGTGGTTTTGGTTAATGCGGCTTTTTGTTTAGTGGGGTGCAGTTTAGCGGTTCAAAAGGGTTTTACAGTACTTTGCTTATGTTTATTCCTGTAAACCATCACTTGACTTTAAACTATTATTTGGACAAAGCATAATAATATTTATAGAATTTTAAATATTTTATAGAACACCTAAAATAATTTTTTTTCTTAAAAAAAGACCACAACTGCCTGTCACTATAGACTAGTTATCTGTGTGGTGATCTAAGACAAAAAGTACAAAGACATACCAGTGATGAGCTCAAGCAGTGATAGATAAGATAATGCATGCAGGTCTCGGTCCAGAAATATCTGGTTTATCATAGCCAGGCTATCACTTAGCTATTGTGCTCAACATACGTCATATTAATAAATAATAATACTATGTAGTCATAAAAAAAATAGTATTTTTGGATTCAGCTCACTGTACATTTTTATATACAGGGTGAGTTTTAATTGTCCCCCCCCATACTTTTTTCTACATTTAAAAAAATATCAATCCCAGACCACTTCCAAACATTGTTGGGTAGTAAGTACTTCGTTTTGACAAGGTGGTCATTTCCGGCCGCCATCTTGGATCCGCCATATTGGATGCAAAATAATTTTTTCAAATGTAAAGGTGGGGTTGTGACCCATTATTCCGAACTAGATTTTTACTCTGATTACAATGCCACAAACCGTTTTTAAAAATCTTGATTCATTCCAAAGTTATGAGGGCTTTTTAAAACTTTATTTTTAGCCCATTTTAACATTGTGCATTTACAAACTAAGGCCATAATCTCAAAATAGTGCTAGATAAAGATAAGTATACACTACCAGTCATTGTTGACCTACTTTCACTTGGTTATGGCTGATGTATTTTTTTCGGCCGCCATCTTGGATCCGCAATTTTGAAATGTGATAAATTATTTTAAATATGAAGGGGGTGTTGTGACCCATCATTTCGAACTACTTTTTTTAAGCTGAACTCAATGCCGCAATTCATTTTTGGTTATCAAGCTTTATTTATGAAATATTGCAATTTTTTGGTTAAAAATGTCAATATTTCAAAATCAAAATATGAAAATGAAAAACGGATCATGGAATTGAGTTTAGCTTAAAAAAGTAGTTCGAAATGATGGGTCACAACACCCCCTTCTATTTAAAATAATTTATCACATTTTAAAATGGCGGATCCAAGATGGCGGCCAAAAAAAATACATCAGCCATAACCAAGTGAAAATAGGTCAACAATGACTGGCAGTGTATACTTATCTTTATCTAGCACTATTTTGAGATTATGGCCTTAGTTTGTAGATGCACAATGTTAAAATGGGCTAAAAAAAAGTTTTAAAAAGTCCTTATAACTTTGGAATGAATCAAAATTTTTACAAACAGTTTGTGGCATTGTAATCAGAGTAAAAATCTAGTTCAGAATAATGGGTCACAACCCCACCTTCACATTTGAAAAAAATATTTTGCATCCAATATGGCGGATCCAAGATGGCGGCCGGAAATGACCACCTTGTCAAAATGAAGTACTTACTACCCAACAATGTTTGGAAGTGGTCTGGGATTGATATTTGAAAAAATGCAGAAAAAAGTATGGGGGGGGGACAATTAAAACTCACCCTGTACATATATCCATATATAAAGCCCAAAGTACCCATGATCTTTTGAGAAAACTACAAGTCACACCCCCATAAACCGTATACTTAAAATGTTGGTAATGACGAGAAACCTTGCTCAAAACTCCATTATTTCATAAATTGCCCTTTAAGGTCGTAATTCCTTTCTAAAGGGAACTTTCCATATACCTAATGTTAAAAATACCTCAGCTGTACTTATTTGTTTGTTATTCTTTCAATTTATTGCCTTATTAAAATCAGTTGTGATTATTTGTTTGTATTACTGTATTCTGTTTTGTTTATTTCAGCTTAACTTAACCAATCAATAGTTTTATTAATACTTATGAAGTCAAACAGGGGTGAAGCCCGTGGGAAACCGCTAGTTATACACACTTACTCTTTTATAGATATAGATTGTAAAATTTGGCAAAGTGGTGAAACACACCTTGTACAACTTGATCCAAGTATGTCATCTCTTTCATGGCCTGGTAGGACCATTGTCCTTTGTGGTTGGATAGCACTGTGTCTATCTGGAAAGAGTAAACTATGTAAGAAACAAGCGAGATTGGAAGCAATAGAGAAAACATCTTTTCCACTACCTACACTAGAAAAACGTATCAGTTGTAATGAAAATTCAGTTTAGAAAAACTATGTTTTTCTCTCTTTCATATCAATCTGTCAATTGCCATCCTTCTTTTACCATTTCCTTAGTAAATTCAGTAGCTTCATGATAAGTTGAAACAAAACTCAGCTGTCCTAGATCGCTTGTGATAAATGACCCTAGCTATAAAAACAGAATTTTAGTCAGTAACAAATCTATCATTTAATTCATTCAACAAGCATCCTCCACTCAATGTCACCTTTTAATATGCTCTCGTATGATGTGTCGGAGTTAAAAACTTAATAATTGAAACTCACCAGAACCTTGAAAATGCCCCAACAAATTTTTTCCCCCTCTCATGTAAAAAAAATAAATTGTTTCAGCAATCTGACACATACTCCCATTAGCTTGTCACCATTTATTTACCATAACAGTGTAACCCTTATTATGGATAAGAGGTGTGATTAACTATGGTATATTATGGGGAAAATTACAAAAGTTGCAATTACTTTTGAACCATTAATTCTTTTTACAGCAATGGGGGTTGTTACATTTTTGTTTAGGAAAATGCTGTAATATACCAAAAAATTTTAAATCCCACAAAATCGTCCAGCCGTTTTTTAACCGGAATTTTTGTTATTTTATGGTGAAAATCATTAAAAATCTAATATTCATGAACCACACACACACGTCAAATATCACTTTGAAAACCACTTTTTTGGGTTCTGGGGGAAACAAAACAGATATATCCTACACTCAAGCTTGAAAATGTTGACAGAAACAAAAATTTGTCGATGTACTTAGGGGAGAAAGTATGTACAAAACAATTTTTTATCAAACAAGTTTTTGGGAGACAGAAGTACTTTAGGTGAGTAATAAAACAAAACATATAATCACAAGTAGGGCCTATAACTCTAAAGAATCCAACATTCGGACAACTTCCAACCTAGCCATTAATCTGTTACTTTTAGGATGAACTCCTCATGACTAACAGACCACAAAATCTAGAAGGGATTCAAACCCAACCCCAAATCAACAGTATAGTGCTGTCTGGTGGCTGATCGCTGGAGAGACGTACTTGTAGACCACTTGTCCATGGATCACACAGTAATGGAAAACCCCAAGTCCAAGCTCAGTATAGTTTTGGCTTGACTCCAAGGTTGCATATCAGAGGCACAGTTGTCAGCTGTGTTTGTTGAGTTATGCTTGTTTGTTATGTTGCTCATGAGGCTGTTTGCTGATGCTGTCTAGCATTCATGATGTCATTGCAACTTTTAGCTTTAAAATAAACCAACATCAATAAGTACATGGCAAATTATAAAAATACGAACAACAATGATCACAGAAATGTATCAATAACAAACATAAAATAAGAACAACAATAATTATATTCTTTTCACACTCACTTCAGGCATGACAAGTCTGCTTGGAATACTTTCTTATACAGTTTTACCCTACTATACCTAGTCAAATTTCCAACCTTGAAACTATTTCCTGTGACCTTGTGCCCATTTAGCTACATATTTTAAAACCTGTTTTCAGTCAACACTGGTTTTGTGTGTGACTGCAGTGATAGGCTGAAATATAATTAAATTATACCTAGGATGAGAAAAAGTGAACAAATAAACAATCATGTTCTTTCATGAGTATTCATTTATAGAAGAATTTTTTTCTTTTATTTTTTCAAAGTTATATTTTGCTTCATTAGTTAATTTCAATGGGCGCAATACAGGAATGATAACATTTAATTATGATTAGTAATTTTCATTCCAATTATTGCAGTTTTGGTCCCCTCTTAGTAAAGTGACAGAGTTGATTTCTTATACGTACGAGATAGTTACCGTGCAGATCTAACATCAGAATTTTACAATTTTAATTTTAGCTAAGCATCTCTCCTTCATGTGTATTCCTACTTAAAGTTATTGTTGTGCCCTTAAATATATTAAATTAAAACCCATTTTGTTAGAGCCACTTCTTTCATTGTATTTAATAACAAAAACCAAAACTTAAAAGTAAACATGAAACAATAATATATCAAACCAGATGACAAGCAAATAAACAAACTATTAATGTAGACCTCAGGACATCTCCCTCTTAAAGTTCTTCTATGAACCTCTTGGCAGGTTTAACAATTCTGGTAGGTCTGTGTATGGTTGAAGAATGATTATGTAGGTTGGATCTTGGTGTATGTGTCTGTCTTGGAGGAAGTGTCTGTGTAAGGGGGTTTTCTTTATCAGGATTTTCTCTTTCTCCAGAGGAGAACATAGGGAATAAGAATTTTGCATTCCTGATATATCTTCCTCCCTTTTTTGTTTCAACGTTATATTTCCTGTTCTCTAACTTCTCCTTGATTACCCCTTCTTCTCTTCGGTCCGATACCCAAACTTTAGCGTTTTCTGGGTAATCCTTGACCTGGGTCACTCTATGTCTTTTATTGAACTGTTGTTCCTGTTTCCTCTTTTCTTCCATTTGTCTAAGTCTATATCTATTGTGATTTGGAATGGCTGGAAGTAGAGTTGCTTTATTCATTGGTAGATTTGTTCTTAAAATCCGTCCCATTAATAGTTGTGATGGGCTATAACCACATTCCTTTGGCGTCGTATTGTATGCCAATAAGCCCAGATGTCTATCCTTACACTTCTTTAATATGTTTTTGAAGATTTTCACACCACTTTCAGCTTGACCATTGCACTGATGATGGTATGGTGAACTAGTTTCCACTGTGAAGTCGTATTCTGATTTGAATAGTTCCCATTCTTCTGATAGAAATTGCACACCTGAGTCTGATCTAATTGACTCGGGGATGCCATGTTTTTCAAACGATGTCTTCATTGATTTAATCAATATTGCCGTTGAACAGTTAGATACCTTATATACATCGATGTATTTGGAATAATAATCCATGAGAATTATGTATTTATCATTGTTGAATTCACAAAAATCTACTCCGATTTTCTGCCAGGGTCTTTCAGGAACCTCTGTAGGAATCATAGGATGGCGAGGAGGCACTCTGTCAGCAATGCATTGCGGGCAATAGGTTACTTTTTGTTCGATGTGATGATTAATTTTGGGCCACCATACTGACATTTTAGCCCTTTCTTTACATCTTTTAATACCTTGATGACCTTGATGAATATTATCTAACATTTCTTTTCTCAAGGATGGAGGAATCACTATTTGATTATTTCTCATAAGTATATCTTCATTGATCGACAATTCTGCTTGATGATCCCAGTATTCTTTTAATCTTTCATTTAATAGGTTCTTATTTTTAGGCCATCCTTGAATTGTAATATCTAACAATTCCTGTAATTCTTCTCTTTGATTTTTTATTATTACATCTAATTTATTAGATGATACTGGGATTGATTGAACTACTGTTCTTACACATGCTTCTGCTTCTTCTGCAAGTTTCTCAATATCTTCCTCTTCAGTTTTGTTGATTGGCGCTCTTGATAACGTGTCGGCAGTTGTTAATTGTTTTCCTGGTACCCACAATATGTCGTACGAATATCTCATTAATCTCATTTTAAATCTCTGAACTCTTAGCGGCAGTTCATCCAAACCCTTACTACTTAAAAGAGGAATCAGAGGTTTATGATCAGTTTGAATTTGAAACTTCAATCCTGTTATAAAATTTTTGAAACGTTCACATGCCCATACTATTGCATAAGCCTCCTTTTCAATTTGTGCATATTTCCGTTGAGTCGGTGTTAAGCTCTTTGATGCGTAGGCCACAGGTTTTAAATGTCCTTGATGTTCTTGCAAAAGTGTTGCACCCAAACCATAAGCTGATGAATCGGCCGAAATTATAGTTCTCCTTTTCAAATTGAATGGTATTAAGGCAGGAGTTGTTTGTAAACTCTTTAAGGCTGTTTTAAATGATTGTTCTTGACTAGGACCCCAAACAAAAGCCCTATCTTTTTTTAGTAGTTCCCTCAGTGGTTGAATGATATCAGCAAGGTTTTCTATGAATTTTCCGACATGATTCAACATCCCTAGAAATCTCCTAACACTTCCCACATCACTGGGTGTGGGGAAATCGATTATTGCTTGTAAGTGTTTGGGATCTGCTTGAATCATACCAGAAGAAATAATGTGACCTAAGAATGAAATCTTTGTTTTTCCTATTTCACACTTGTCATTTAAGGTAACTCCTTCTTTTTCCAATTCTTGTAACACTCGGTCTAGTCTGCTGTCATGCTCGGGTTTACTTTCTCCGGTAATTAAAATATCATCCATATAACACAAAATTCCTGGGATGTCTCCAATAATACTTTTCATCCTGTTATAAAATATTTCCGGGGCTGTTGAAATTCCGAAGGGAAGTCTTTTAAAACAAAATCTACCAAATGGTGTTATAAATGTTGTCAATTTTGAGGAACCCTCATCTAGCGGTATTTGCCAAAACCCCGAATTAGCATCTAATTTTGAATACCATTTGGAATTCCCTAGACATCCAAGTAAGTCCTCAACAGTATTAAAAACGTTATTTTCTCTCTGTAAATGGTTGTTTAAAGCTGAAGGATCAATGCATATTCTTACACTGCCATTAGGTTTAGGTCTTACCACCATTGGATGACACCACTCCGTAGGTCCGCAAACTTCTTCAATGATTCCCGCTTCAACCATTCTTTTAAGTTCATTTTTCACTTTTTCTCTTAATGGAATAGGTATGTTTCTAGGAGTTTTTAACTCCATCGGTACCGCATTTTGTTTCAGTTTAAGTTGAGCTCCTTCCCATGTAGCAAGCAATGTATATAATACGTAAATATTCGGGATTAAGGTATAACCAACGTATTTGTATTAATGATACAGATAATATGCATATTATATACCAATATGAAAATACGGTTTCATCCAAAATAAATTTTGCATAAAATACTGTAAAATGAAGAAACAAAGTGTAAATTTTCACCTAAATGTTGT